GTAACTGTACCGAATGCGATCGCAGCTTGAAACTAATTAGCTGCCCAGCGGTTCTCATGGCGGAATAAGATCAGCCGAGCCGAGTTGGCTAATTAAAATCGCCAAAAGGCTCTCTCCACCTTTAACATGCTGGGCGCGCTCATAAAAGTGCACATTTCTATAATAAGCATGAAATGCAGCTAGGTGGAACCGGGAACGTGAACGGGAATGAGGAACCTCTAGACCCCTGAAATCCCCTTCTCCACTGCCCGGCGAAGGTCCCGGCCAAAACTATAAATAACGCCATGTCTCCACGAGACTATGACCAGCCACATGTATTGATGTGTGTCCTGTCCACTGCTTTTTAAATCAAATGATAATAAATCACCGCCAGATATCATAAAACATGTTGCTCATAATCATCGGAGCTGGGTTGGTTGGGTTTGGGGAGGGGTTTTTAGGGATCCTGCTGCCTCCTAGGCCATGACACAAAAAAGTTCAGGCCACGAGGCAAGCGGCCGGGTTTGGTGGGAAATTTGCGCCGCTTCTAAGCAGAAGTGGCCATGGATCGGCTTTTGTGGGTCTACCTTTGTTGCTCCTGCAGCAGCCGAAGATACTCCTGAGCCATTGCCGTTTCCTAATTTGCATAAATGACAATGAGAGTCATAAAACATGCGTCGTTGTTGTCGTTGCTCGATTGTCTTGCCGCTGCTCTTGGTTCTGTTTTCTTGCTTCGTCTTTTTTTCTTTATTTTTTTTTTTAATAAAAAATATTGCCGGCTGGCTGCCGCATTTTCATCATCGTGCAACATCGTGTTGTATGTTCTTGTACATTGCATAAATTAGATTTCGCGCTGATCTACACTTTTGCTGGCACGACGAAGAAAGTGCAACCCGAAGCGGTTTCCCTCTTCACCAGGGAGAAAGAAGAGTGGAGAACAGAGGATCCACATCCACATCAGCAGATGCTGAAGAATTTATATCGGCAAAATGACGGTCAAAAATGTTAAGGGCCAAAAGCGTGTCTGGAAGTTCAAATACGAGCAGAACAAGCAGGAAGCGGAGGCAGTCATGGCATGCCACTCAGTCGATTTGAAGGAGGTTTGGAAATGGGTAAGGGATGTGGATGGGAATGGAGACCGGGATGAGGATGAAGATGAGGCCCAGAGGATGCAGCTCGGCCTGCCTGCTGGCTACTTGTGCGGCATGGCAAGGTGAGGCCTGGCCTTCGTCTCCGGCTATTTCATTTCATTCCAAGACACTTCAACCCAACACTCGAAGAAATGTACCCCAAAACAATCGGCCACTACACCATACATTATTTCAATACATAAGCTTTCTTTTAAAAACTAGAGAAATGCATAAAAGAAACCTTCATTGTATATAGAGATTAAATTAAATATTATCTAAGTTAAATGAAAATAAATTCTTTTATGAAAGTACCTTTTTTTATATTTAATTTATTTATATTTATAAAATATTTTCACGACACTTTTATAAAAATGTAAAGCAATTACACTTTAATTTCTCAGCGAAATTAAAAAATTAAAAAAATCATATAGTGATTAAAATGATTTTTTAAAAATTCTTTTTTCAATGGATTGCGATAATTTATTTACACTTTTTCTTTACGTGTATCTGTTCCCTGCCAGCTGGCCAGCAATCGTCGCCTGCTTCCTCCTCACGGACCAGCCCATGTTGTTGCCCTTTTGAAATTTATCTAAGCTTCACTTGACACTTGTCGTCGTTGTCGTTGCGCAGTTCCAGAGCCGCATAGCCATCCGCTGGCAGTCGCGAAATTTCCGCAATCTCGCGCCTTTAAAGTTCCAGCAGTTATCATTAGAGAACGAGCTGGGCTTCAATTTTCCACAAGCACACACATATGTATTGTAGGTATTCCTTCCTTCCCTGGCAGATTGTTATTGTAACCTGCGGTCCACATCTGGAGGCTATTCGCCTTGTCTTTTTTCACTACAGCATTTGACGCGCGCCTTTTTTCTTCCACTCTCGGCCATAACTGGCAATTGCACGAACTATTTGCTGCCTTTACCTTGGGCTTAGGAACTGTCGAGGGCTTTCATAGGTGAGCATAAGGCGATATTGCGCTACTTCTGCATACCAGGGCATATGAATCCTTTGACAATGCCAAGGTATACTTTCTTGAAAGTATGCAAGGCAAATACTTTTATTACAAAAATATTTTAAATATATTTTAAATAAAACAAGAAAGGAAGCTAGCTTCGGCAAGCCGAAGCTTATATACCCTTGCAGATCATTCTATTAATTTACAAATCGCAAAAATGTTAAATTTCTTATTATTTCACATTAATTTTTCGATCGTTTCTATCACAGCTTTATGATATAGTAGTTCGATCTTTTAAAAAGTAAAATCGAAATTTGGAAATATTTCAAAATAGTCATATCCCAGAGTAGAAGGGAATGTAATAAAAACCAACAAAGATATAATTTTTACACATTAATTTCCATTTAATTTTTCGACCGTTCCTATGGCAGCTATATGATATAGTGATAGAAATACGACTTTGACAAAAGTTTCATTTCGATAGCTTTAAAACTGAGAGACTAGTTTGCGTAGAAACGGACGGACAGACGGACAGACGGACGGACAGACGGACAGACGGACGGACAGACGGACAGACGGACGGACAGACGGACATGGCTAGATCGACTCGTCTTGTGATGCTGATCAAGAATATATATACTTTATGGGGTCGGAAATGTCTCCTTCACTGCGTTGCAAACTTCTGACTGAAATCATAATACCCTCTGCAAGGGTATAAAAATACTCCCAAGAGTAGAAGGTAAAATTTCAAAAAACACCGGAGCTAGAATTTTTTTTCCGTTTTTTTTTTCGATCCTTCCTATGGGAGCTATAAGATATAGTTGTCCGATCCGTTCGGTTCCGACATATATACTACCTGCAATAGAAATACGACTTTTACGAAAGTTTCATCGCGATAGCTTCAAAACTGAGAGACTAGTTTGCGTAGAAACGGACGGACAGACGGACAGACGGACGGACAGACGGACAGACGGACGGACAGACGGACAGACGGACGGACAGACGGACATGGCTAGATCGACTCGTCTAGTGATGCTGATCAAGAATATATATACTTTATGGGGTCGGAAACGTCTCCTTCACTGTGTTGCAAACTTCTGACTGAAATCATAATACCCTCTGCAAGGGTATAAATATTTGAATAAATCATTTGTAGAAAAAACTCAATTTAATCCTATAAATCTTAAAAATAATATTTTTTCAGCTTTTAAAATGTTTGTAAAATTAAAATTTATTTGAACAAATCTTAAATATGGCGAAATAACTATAAAACTCAAATATTTTAAAAACATAGCCAATGAAATCCGGCTCAAACTTTTCCAAATCATTAAGAAGCAAATAAAGAAGGTCAAAGCCCAAGGGCCTATTCCTCATCCAATTCCTGATTGAACTCTGATTCAGCACCAACACCCTCGTTCGCCGACTTATCACAATATCTCATGGACACCTTATTTACTTTTAATGAAGTGTTGGCCGGCTATCGCCATTCGGTTTCTTCTGCGAATCGCTGAGGGTAATTGATGTTGAAACTCTCGAGCTCTGGAGGCTCTTTGGAGCTGTCAATTTGTTGCACCACTTAATAAGCAGCCCATAAATGCGATATGTAACGCATTTCTCCCCCAATGCCAGTGCCAATTTGAGGGACTCAACTCAATTCAGCGTCTGGCAGATGCGTTGCGGCAATTTGTTGCAACCAAATGCAAGCCGCATGCCATGTTACTCGAACATCCATGAAAGCGGTGGGAGTTTGTGGAGGAAACTGAAGGTAGCTGGAGGAACCTGGAGAGGATCGACCATGACCATGGGGTAAGCCCTTTTTGGGGCCCCGGCAAATCATTGCGCACGCTGCGATGCCGAGATTATCTTGTCCGATTGCGTTTACAAGGCACCGGGGGCCTCTTGGCCAGTTCTCTCGCCTAGCCATAAACGCAATTAGAAGAACAATTGTTAGACATGCAAAGCGGGGACGTTGGCAAAGTCTCCACAATGCACAGGCCCAGCCCTTTCTGGGCAGCCTCGATTGCCATCTCGGGATCTGGGGGAGATCTGGGGAATCCAGGGGGCTCTGCTGTTCTGGCCTTCTGGGGGCCCAACAGCGCATGTGTGCGTGTTTATAACTCAAATGAGCAATTACCTTACAAAGGATTTTGTGTAGGGACGGCTCGGAATAGTCGCTGTTGTCGTGGCTTTTAATAAACTCTTCACGAGCAGCCCCATCTTTCCCAGTTCACTGCACAGTGGTTCCGAAATTACTGTAACAGCTAAAATCACAAAGATTAAATTCCAATACCAATTCTTGAAATTCTATTTCAATTTTATCTTCAGATTATACCAGGTAATCTATTCGTTTCACTTATAAATCGGTTGAATGCCAAGTTTTACTGAGATTAAAATAAAATTCACTTTCTCTGCTCATTTCAGTTTCTGCAATTGGAAAAACCACACGAAATGTGGAAGTGGAACCAAATATTTGCATTATTTTGTTTGGTGCCAACCGGGCAAGCAAATGTTAATAAAATTTCCACGGTGAGTTCAACTTAAGTTCATAAACAAAACGTTAAATTATTTAAAATCTTTTCAAAGCTTGGTGATTACATGACCTTGAAGGTTTTAGAAAGAATCGATAATCTTTTGATGGGAATGGAAAGAAATCAAGAATCGATTCTCAGTAACCAAAATAATTGTAACAAAAGGTTGGTTGCAAATATGTCTTATATCGACGATCAAACTAATCCATATTTTATTTTTTAAAGCTTGCCTCAATTAAAAGGTCTGTTTGGTAAATATATTATCTAATTCCAAACAACCATTTGTATATTTTTTGCAGACTCTACAAATAATGTAAGTAATAGATCGAGCTTGCAGGATGATAGCCATAAATTACTGAAGACAGCACGAGAACAGTTCAAAATATTGAAAGAACTTTTCAGCACTGACTGCCCACATTCAATAGAAACTCCCGTTCCCAAAGCTAGAAGCTACCTTCTCAAAAGACCTTTCAACTGGCCTTTGCTCCCAGATGAAGAGGCACAAATCCAATTTAATCAAAAACTATTAACAGAACATTATCGGATGATACAGGCTACCAGTCGTCCCCGAAACTCTTTACGTAAACCAAATCGTATACCCAATCATAAAACAAAGTTCATATGTAATCCTGCCTTTTCAGATTGCGTCCCCTTACAACATTATTTTACGACTGGAAATGGAATTATAAATTGGATGCTGAATTGCACAACTGGTACTGAAACAAACGTCATAATTCCTTTACCAGAAAACGGAACACATCCAACAGTCCCAGGGGTTAATAATAATCTCAATCCGTGTATTAATACATTTCCGAACCACTTAACTTCAGATTATCTGAAGTATAAATACACAGGATATCCATGTTATCCACTAAATCCATGGAAGATCGGTGAAGAACACCGCCTGCCTTCGCCAACGGGGCGCATCACATACCCATTTCCATTATTACCCGAGTTGCCGGTTTGGAGTCCACCTGAAAGTTTTCCTTCAATGAACAATTTAGAATTATCTGGACTTCTTTCTCCCCCACAAGCAATTGGATGGCCTGGACCACCGATCTTCCCAAATCCATATCCAGAACCACCGGCACCAATTTTGCCTCCACCTGGACTTGCTCCTCCACAACCAATTCCTCAATGGCCTGCACCACCAGGACCAGTGATCTTTCCCAATCCACATCCACCACCAGTTTGGCCTCCATCACAATCTCACCAACTTACCAATAGATGGCCTTCCCCATATCCACATCCGGGACCACCCGCACCTCCAGTTTGGCCTCCATCTCTACCTCAACCAATTACCAATGGATGGCCTGCACCATCAAGACAAGTGATCTCCCCAAATCCACATCCAGGACCACCTCCAGTTTGGCCTCCATCTCAACCTCACCTACTACCCAATGGATGGCCTGCACCACCAGGACCAGTGAGTCCCCCAAATCCACATCCAGGACCACCTGCACAACCTGTTTTGACTCTATCAGGACATCCTAATCCCCCAGCCGCTAGTTCAAGATTGTCTGCAAGACATTTAAGACCGGTGTCCCCTCCACGTCAGTCAGGAGTAGATCTCTCCGGTTTGAAACATATTAGTATGCTTAATGTGTACGAAATGTTGCTCAACATGACCAGCACCCCGCAAATCAAGCAGTAGCTCAGGGGTCAGAGTATTTTGCACTATCAACCGAGAAAACTACTCGAACTAGTAACATAATCAAAATACACTGACCTACGCCAACTTTTGACATAATCAAACTACACTAAGCTCCTGTGTTATCCAAGTAGTACATAAGCATTAATCAACTTAAGAATAAATAAGTTATCCATTTTATAACTCCGCTTAATACTACACTATCTCAACAAGCAGCTAATCCTGGTTAGAGGATTACCTAAGAAAAACCTATGAAAAACGTTGTTGAAGGTACGATCGTCACATGTTTTTTACCTCGTTAGGAAAATTTTTAATGCCATTTTTTTGTGCACCAAAACCAATTCTTAAAATACTATCTCAATTTAATCTTTAGGTTATACCAGGTAATCAATACGTTATACTTGTAAATCATGTAAATGACAAGACAAAGACTGAAATAATCATTTCAGTTTTTGCAATTGAGAAAACCACACGAAATGAGGAAATGGAGCCAAATAATTTTATTGTTTTTCTTGGTGCCAACCAGGCAAGCAAAAGTTTCTACGGTGAGTTCAACTTAAGTTCGTTAACAAAACGTTTAATTATTTAAAATCTTGTTAAAGCTTGGTGACTACATGACCTTGAAGGTTTTGGAAAGACTCGATACTCTTTTGTTGGGAATGGAAAGAAATCACGAATCGATTCTCAATAACCAAAATAACTGTAACAAAAGGTTGGTAACAATTATATTTTATATCGACGGTCAAAGTAATTAATATTCTTATTTAAAGCTTGCTTCAAATAAAAGGTCTGGTTGGTAAACATATGATCTTATTTAAATTAACCCTTATCTAAATATTTTGACAAACTCTACCGATAATGCAAGTAAAAGTTCGAGCTTGCAGGATAAAAGCTTTAAATTACTGAAGACAGCTCGAGAACAGTTCAAGATAATGAAAGAACTTTTCAGCACTGAATGCCCACATTCGAAAGAAGCTCCCGTACCCCAACCTAGGAGCTACCTTTTCAATAGAAGACCTTTCAATTGGCCTTTGCTTCCAGAAGAGGAGGCACAAATCCAATTTAATCAAAAACTTTTAACAGAACATTATCGGATGATACAGGCCACCAGCGTTCCTCGAAACTCTTTCTGTAAACCAAATCGTATACCTAATCATAAAACAAAGTTCATATTTAATCCTGCCTTTTCAGATTGCGTTCCCTTACAACAATATTTTACGACTGGAAATGGAAAAATAAATTGGATGCTGAATTGCACAATTGGTGCTCATACAAACGTCATAATTCCTTTACCAGAAAACGGAACACATCCAACAATCCCAGGCATTAATAATAATCTCTTCTACCCCCCATGGCAGAAACTAAGCCCCAATCCGTGCTTCAATTCACTTCCTAACCACCTTGCTCCAAATTTTCTGAAGTATCCATATACAGGATATCCATGTTATCCCCTAAATCCATGGTATTCACCACCAAAGAATGGATTAGACAACCTCCTGCCTTTGCCACCAGGGCGTATCTCATATCCCTTTCCTGGACTACCCAAATTACCAGTTTGGCATCTACCTGGGATTTTACCTTACCCACAGCCAATTGGATGGTGATCTACCGCAATAAATAAATAAATAAATGTTAAAATACAATTAACTTTTGCGTTATCCAAGTAAGCATGTATCAACTTAAAGATAAATTAGTTATCAACGCTACTTATAACACAGCTGTTCTACTTACTAACTTCGGAACGTTACCAAAACCATCCCAATCCCAAGGTGCGATCGTCACTAGTTTTTTACCTCGTCTAAGGATGTTTTTGCCTGATTTGAACAACACCTACCAATACCAATTCTTGAAATACTATCGAAAACTTATCTTTAGATTATACCAGGCAATCCATTCGTTTCACTTATAAATAGGTTGAATACCAAGTCTTACTGAGATTAAAATAAAATTCATTTTCTCGCCTCATTTCAGTTTTTGCAATTGGGAAAACCTCACGATATGTGGAAGTGGAACCCAATATTTATATTATTTTTTTTTGTGCCAACCGGGCAAGCAAAAGTTCATAAAGTTTCCACGGTGAGTTCAACTTAAGTTCATATAGAAAATGATTAATTTTCAAAATTTGTTAAAGCTTGGTAATTACATGACCTTGAAGGTTTTGGAAAGAATCGATACTCTTTTGTTGGGGATGGAAAGAAATCAAGAATCGATTCTCAGTAACCAAAATAACTGTAACAAGAGGTTAGTTTCGAACAATTTGTATATTGACGATCAAACTAATTCATCTTTTCTTTTTTAAAGCTTGCTTCAATTAAAAGGTCTGTTTAAAAATATATTATCGACTTCAAAAACAACCATTTGTATATTTTTTTTCCAGACTCTACAAATAATGTATATAATAGATCGAGCTTGCAGGATGATCGCTTTAAATTACTGAAGTCAGCGCGAGAGCAGTTCAAGATAATGAAAGAACTTTTCAGCTCTGAATGCCCACACTCACAAGAAACTCCCGTTCCCCAAGCTAGAAGCTACCTTCTCAATACAAGACCTTTCAATTGGCCTTTGCTCCCAGAAGAGGAGGCACAAATCCAATTTAATCAAAAACTTTTAACAGAACATTATCGGATGATACAGGCTACCAGTCGTCCCCGAAACTCTTTCCGTAAACCGAATCATATACCAAATCATAAAGCCAAAATCTACATTTATTCCTGCCTTTTCAGATTGCGTTCCCTTACAACAATATTTTACGACTGGAAATGGAAATTTAAATTGGATGCTGAATTGCACAATTGGTACTCAAACAAACGTCATAATTCCTTTGCCAGCCAACGGAACATATCCAACAATCCAAGGGATTAATAATAGTCCGTGTCTCAATACACTTCCAAACCACCTTCCTCCAGATTTTCTGAAGTATCCATATACAGGATATCCATGTTATCCCCTAAAACCATGGTATTCTCCAACAAATAACGGTTTAGAGCACCTCCTGCCTCCGCCACCAGGTAGTATCACATATCCATTTCCAGGACTACCCAAATTGCCAGTATGGAGTCCTGAAAAACAAGGACCACCAGGATGGCCTGCGCCATATCCTAATCCTCTCATTGAATGGGCTGCAGTGATCCCTCCAAATCCATATCCAGGACCACCCGGACCTCCAGTTTGGCCTCCAAATGAAGTCATTAACCCAAATCCAAATCCATATCCAGGACAATCCACAGCTCCAGTTTGGCCCCCAAATAAAGTCACTAACCCAAATCAAAATCCATATCCAGGGCCACCCGGACCTCCAGTTTGGCCTACACATGAAGCTACTAACCCAAATCCAAATCCATATCCAGGACAACCCACAGCTCCAGTTTGGCCTCCAAATGAAGTCACTAACCCAAATCAAAATCCTTATCCAGGACAACACACATCTCCAGTTTGGCCTCCATATGAAGTTCCTATCCCAAATCCACCAGGACCAGTTACTAACCAAAATCCACCCGGACCAGTGATTTTTCCAAATCCACATCCAGCACCCCCCGCTCCTCCAAGTCCAAATCCAGGACAGCCCGCTCCTCCAGTTAACATTACCAACCCAAATCCACCAGGACCCAATCCAGGACCGCCTGCACCACCAGTGATCCCCACAAGTCCCAATCCAGAACCGCCTGGACCACCAGTTTTGCCTCCACCAAGTCCTTTATTTTATATTCCGAAAGGTGTAGATCTCTCTAATTTGCAGAATCTTAATCTTAATCTTGTGGGTAAACAACAAAAATAAAAATGAGCTTCGTCTGGAAGACCAAACTAATTAGGTGATCATAATTATAGTCTTTTTAAAAACAATACAAAAATATTTCCCAAACTAGTTAACAATTAACAGAAAAATGCCAAGTAAAAGTATCTTATGAATATACGAAATTGCTTAATAATACGATTCGATACATTTTTCGGTTAATTTTAAAAAGAAACAACATAAAGCATCCAAAAAAAAGTTATTTTTATATTCTTCATATATTGCTTCAAATAATATTTATATATTAGATAAACATTTTTCTAAAGTATTTTAAAATAATTCTCGTTTGTATCGGATAGAAACCTGAACTGTAGCTAAACGTCAATATTACCCGTTAATAATGAATTAGCCTTATAAAGTAAATGTTGCCTATATATAAAATCAATGTAAAACAAAATTGTTTGTTTCATTTTAACGTTTGTCATATCAGGGATTACACGAAATGTGCAAATGGAATCAGTTGGTAATAGTTATTTTTCTCCTAGTGCCACGTAGCCACTGTCTTAAAAATAACGTTTCTTCAGTGAGTCCGAATGAAATCCACTTTAAAGACATTTGCTAAGTACTGAATTTTCAAGGTGATTAAAACAATAGACCACATTCTTTTGCGATTAGAGAGTTACCAAAAATCTCTTCGCATTGATCAGCAGTCATGTAACCAAAGGTTTGTTGAATAATGACTCCGATCACTAGTTTTATTAATACATCTAATATTTTAAAGTTCGCTTCCATTGCAAAGAAAAGGAGTTGGTAAGAACTTAAACGTAATTTAAGTTAAAGTCAGTATTTCAAACATACTCTTTTGCGTTAAGATTCTAAATTACAGGATGAAGGCTCTTCTTTATTGCGGAAGACACAAACGTACTACAAGATATTGAAGGAAATTTCGAAACATGAGTGTGAAAATCGAAATAATGAAAATTTCAAAAGAATGAGATCGCCGAGACATGTCCCTAATTCACACTTTGCTTATGTACTTGCTCCTGCTTCTGTTCCTGCTCCTAATCCGTATCCACAGCCCTTACATTGGGGTCCACCAGGCGGATATCCATCATGGTGGTATCAACCACGACCTGAACTACCCGCACCTCCATGTCCTGGACCACCCGCACCTCCACCTTATCCTCCGTCTGTCATACCCAACCCACAACCTCCAGGACCAGTATTCTCATCATGTCATGGACCACCTTTAGTTTATCCTCCGCCTGTCATAATTAACCCACTAGGACCGTCACTTTTGCCTTCACCTGGACCTTTCCTTTCCAATCCGAAAGGCGTAGATCTCTCTAATTTAAGGAATCTTAATCTTAATCTTGTGGGTAAATAAATAAATAAAAATAACAAACAAGACTATCAAATACCTCTTAATATGCTAAAAAAGTGCGAGAGAGATGGAAAGAGAGCGGCAATGTGAAATCGCGCCATCTAGCGGATTTTTCATTACTCCCTGATAACTTTCCTGTCTAGAAACTTTTTTAATTTCTAATAAAGGTGTTTACTGGCCAAATGGTTATGCTTCATTCTTTTCATCCTTGGTAAGAGCGATTTAAATGAATACCATAATCATTTTTCAAAGACTTTTTAGGATAAGGTGAATGTTAATAACATTATCGTATATATTGCATATATTTCGAAAGCCCTATAATTATTTTCCCAAATAAATCTAAAAGTGGAAAATAACTAAGAGTGTTTCATAATGTTTAATTCTTTTGATAGATGTGGAAAATTAATTTCGTTTCAGTTTTTTAACCAGGGAAATTAGATTATGCAGTCCAACTTATTGAAAGTCGATGTTTCGGTTTATTTAGGTAAGCGTATTTACAGAAACTGCACGCAATGTGCAAATGGCTCCTTATCGTTTTTTTATTTTATTTAGTGCCACGTAGGCACGGTCTTAAAAACCATGGTTCCTTGGTAAGATCGGTTTATATTCATACTAAAATCCGTTAAAAATTTTTTTTTTAGAATAAGGTGTTCCTTAATAAGCTTTTTGATGAAATCGACAACCGGTTTCTAGAAGTAGAAAAAAACCAAAGAACCTTAGGCATTCATCAGCAGTCATGTAACAACAGGTTTGTTTTATTAGTTTCTTCGGTTTTTTACAAATTTTTTTATATATATATTATTTAAGTTTGATTCACAGAAACGGATCCTCTTTGATGTCGAGCATAAAAAAGCAGTTCATTCTTTTGAAACAACTGAGCGAAACTGAGTGCCAAAATGAATTTTATAACAACTTGAAAACTATTCGATCGCCATACAGACCACATGAACATTTTGCCTATATACCAGAAAATGAGGATTGGACTGATCGTCCAGAAAGTTCTCGCCCGCGTCCACCTCCACCACGACCACCGCCACGACCTCCACCAAGACCTCCTCAAAGACCTCCACCGAGACCTCCACCACCACCACCTCGTCCTTCAACTAAACTTCCTCCCAAGGTTACGGCCTCCACCAAGAATCCCTGTGAATCAAACCACGGAAATCACGGAAATAAGATAGTAGTTCCGGAAATTGTTCTTCCACCAGGATTTGAAATCCTTGAAATAGAAATACAAAACACGTGTCAAAACGGACAACAGAGTAAATAAATTACTATTGACCACAAGTGCACCCTTCTTATAAAATATACAATCAAACAAACCAACCAAATTATAATTAAAAAGGAAAAGTTACATATTATTGAATGGCAAAATTAATTTTGTAAACAAATATTTTACTTAAATTTTAAAAAAGAGAGCACTTTAAATGAAACATAAAGTTAAAAGAATGTCCCAAGAATATTATTTAGAAAACGGTTTTAATATTTGTGAAAGAAAGTTCAAAGTAATTTATATTTTGTAATCTAGATTTCATTCCTTTTTTGTGTATTATCAGACCACGGTGCGCTTTTAAAGTGTCTCGCGTTTGGCGTTGACTTGTGAGAAAGCTGGGCCGGCAGGGGCGAAATATTTTAGAATTTTCACAACACGTCACACGACAGCAGCCCCCAGGAGAGGAGGGCATACATGGATGATCTTGAGGCCCTTGGCAGGCTGAGGGATTGGGAAATGCAGATGGAGGGCCTGAATCTGGACCTCAACTTGAAGCTGTATGGTCGGATGGCTGGATGGCCGGCACCCGCACGCTCATGGCTTGTATTTGGCTTGTTAACTGCGCTTGTTTACTTTATGTTAAATTAAGTTGAGAATCGTGCAATGCAAATCAGTGCGCAGTGCCAGCCGGAAAAGTCAGAGCCAAGTCAGACCCCAGCCAGACTCCGAGACTGAAGCCGAGATGGAGAACAAATCCAAGTCCGAGCTGGAGCCGCATACAATTTTCCAACTCTTTTCTAATTGCCAAGCCGACGAGCGGGTTCTGTTCTTCTGGAGGAGAAGAGTTCACTGATTGCTTTGCATACGAAATGAATTAATGTCATTGAGGAAGAAGATGTTGCCAGTTGGCACTGAGGGGCCGATTCTCCGGTAGCCGAAGACGACTCTTCCAGACCGCTCTTCATCTCCTTCTCCATCTCTTTTTTTTCTTATTCGTGCCGGCCTGGTACTAATTTGAATTACAGTGCACCAGACTCAAGACTGGCTTCCTTTTCATTATCTAAGGGTCTAAGACTTCATTGCTGGCAGTTATCAAATGCAGCACATCAGGCGAAGGCACAGTGCAGACTCCAAGTCAGTCTGAGAATTCAAAGACAGATGTCTGCCAGACGGCACTCGAAAAAAGCTCTTCAATATTTAAAGATATTTTAATAATATTATTTTTACCATTTCGGATTTTTAATCCTAATTACTATAAATTTTAAAAAAATTTAATAAATACCTTTAAACTGCCCTACTTGTAAAATCGAATTTTTCAATTATTACCAGAAACTTTCTCATCTTTTTAAATATAAAAAAATAATTAATTTGCTTTGAAGAATTTGCAGAAATATTTTTAAGTTTGTTTAGTTAATAAAAGAATTTGTTCTATTTCTTAGCTCTATTTTTCCCAGTGCATAGCCAATTCTAGGCTCTCTCTTATTCTCACTCGACATCTTTCTCCGACTTCTTCCCAGCTGGAGTCGTCGTCGCCGTCACACACAATAATTAAAATCTTTGCCTTTTGCCGTGATTGTTTCTACCGCCGAGATAAGTGCGGCAACAACTGCAAGCTGCAACTGCAACTGCAAGCTGCAACTGCCGCTTAGATAATGCAATGCAATTCAGTTCTTATGCAAATTTATGAGTGACTGACTGAGTGACTCTGACGGGCAACTGCCACCGGGCTAAAGGCAGAAAAAGCAAGTGAATGGCATGCCATTCAACCTTTCTAACTTGGGTTAGAGTTTGGCATCCTTCGCCAGTCTGGTTCAATGATCTGCATCTTATATATACACATATATTCCTGCTGCGTGTTTGTCACTCAGCCACGCCCACCAAAGGGGGTTGAAGGGGGAGGGAATTGTGGAATTTCGCCTGCTGAAAGCATAATGACCATGCTGAAATCCGTTTGTCTTTGCTCTGCCATCTTTTCATTGTTCTTTTTCTGGCAATTACAATTGCAACAATTAGACTCGGTCTGCCCTGGCCTATCTGCGATGCTTTCTATGATTAAGTTGTGCCTTTAACTAATGAGTCTGGGCCAAGTTTGTGGCACCACAAGTTCGGCGTTTATAAATTATGCTAATGTTGCGAAAAGAAACAAATTTCTAAAGTTGCCTACATTTGCATGTGTTTAGGGTTTGCATAAGAGTAAAAGTTATTTATGTGGGGAAGGCAAACCAAACAAGCCATTAGCATTTGGCGATTTGGATATGTGTAGCAAGGTATATTTTAAATAGGTATGCGACAGTTCCTAAATCTATCATTTCTTAATGGGTTTTTGGCAGATTTATGCCTGTCACAGTAGGTCAGCCACCGTTTCTAAATCCCAACCATAATTATTCCATGCCAATTTGTGTTCTTGCATAATTTATTTTTTTAAATATGTGCATGCAAGTGCCACATGTTGCATAATTTCAAACTGCACGCAATTTTTCAACGCGCTGCTTTTATTAATTTATATTTTTTGGGCGTTTGGATGGACGACACTCTGGCCTCGGGCGTATCAATTTCGAAACCAATCCAAGTCCAGGAATACAGAAGAGGGCAACGACGACGACGACGACGACATTCCATACAAAGAAATATGATCGAGGAGCCGGAGGAATAACTTGTCCCTCGTTCTGGTTGCGTTTTGTAAATTATGCCGAAAAGCAAACCCCCATCGCAAAGCCTTATAAATTATTCCCAACTGCAACAGGGCAGCGTGAAAGCGGGCGTTTGCCTCCGGTTAATGATGATACCGGATAACCGGCACTTAAAGGATATTTATGCTGCCTTGCCGCTCAGTTCGCAATTCGATTCCATCGACTGCGAGTGCGCGAGGAGAAAGAGACACTTGATTCCAGAATTCGCCAACTCAGCGCCCGAGTTTATTTTGGATTATTTTGGGCCAGAACCCAGATCCGTCGGGTCAGAGGCGCTGTCGATGATGCCGATGCCTAAGCCTCTCGAGATGCGCATTAAAAGTCCATTAAAAAAAGCGACGGGAGGCAGAGGCGGACTGCAAAGTGGTGAACTCGCTTGAGTTTGCTCCACTTTCATGAATATGCAAAGTTGTAATGGTCAGATTTACCGAAAGTTTGACGAACTTTAAATACTCTTTTGTGAAAAATGTTCGATTTTGACTAGAAAATTGGCATTGTAGAGATATAAATTTAAATATAACAGACTAAAATAAATCAAGCAAAAACTTTAAAAAGATTTAGAAACAATTTATAATTTTTAAAATTTTAAAATCAAGGTAAAGTACAAATAAGTCAAATGAATATTTATTGTAACTTTTGAAGTATATTTTCCCATCTAACCCCATTTTGATGGTAATTACACTCTATAGAGAAAGAAGAAAAGTCATTGAATGATCTTGCTAGTTTTATGTTTGGCTGCTTACAGTGACCATTGCTAATAACCCAATTTTTTCGCCTAACACGTTTGAAAACCTTCCGTAAGTGTATAATTTAAATGATATTAAAAAGTTTATTTGCCCTTAAAGGCAAGTTGTTCTGGATGAAAATGATGATTTGTACAGAGCCAAAAATACAAAACCCTCCACACTCGAGAACCGCAAGGTGAGCGTGTGTGCGGCGCTATAAAGTGTTATGCAAATAAGGCGCTGGCTGCCAAACAAAGAAAGCGGAGAAAGAAGGAAAACGCTAAAGAAAGAAAGCAATAAAACATTCATATTTTTAGTTTTATTAAAAAAGCGATCGACTTGATCGCGATGCCCCCCCGACTGGAGCAGACTATAAGTAGCCGGCGTTTGGCAAGCCACTCTGTCACTTTCCTCAGAAGTAAACTCCGGACAAGATGCGCTGCTACCTGGCCCTGCCGCTCCTGCTGCTGGGCATTAGCCTCACGTTGGCCCAGTACCAGTACCAGGCTCCCCATCAAACCCTCGCCCAGCAGTTCGCCGATGTGGTGGATGTAGCCGATCCCAATCCCAATCCCATCGATCAGGTCCGCGCCAGGCCAGTGAAGAATCGCAATCAGTGCACCACCAAGCAGAATTGCTGTGAGTACAAAAAAAAAATCTTAAATATTAAAGGATTGTTGAACATTACCTAAAAGAAAGCATAGATATTATTATGCCATAACTCATAATACAATCTAGCCAGAACACAGAAAATATACGAACATTTTTAATCAATAATGATATTATATTTAAAAGGATTTAAGATTAGGACTAGGATTTTTCTAAAAATTGTCAAAGATTCAAATTTAAAAACATTATTAAAAAATTATTATTCTATTTTAATCCAGTTCTCATGTTTTATTCCACCAAGAAATCCAATAAAAATATTTTATAAAATCCCAAAAACTCTATTTTACAGTCTGCGGAACTCCTAATGTCAATCGTATTGTGGGCGGCCAGCAGGTGCGCTCCAACAAGTATCCCTGGACCGCCCAGCTGGTCAAGGGTCGCCACTATCCCCGTCTCTTCTGCGGCGGTTCCCTGATCAACGATCGCTACGTCCTGACTGCCGCCCATTGTGTGCACGGCAACCGGGATCAGATCACCATTCGCCTGCTCCAGATCGACAGATCCTCCCGGGATCCTGGCATTGTTCGCAAGGTTGTGCAGACCACCATCCATCCCAATTACGATCCCGTCAACATTGTCAATGATGTGGCCCTTCTGAAGCTCGAGTCCCCCGTTCCCCTGACTGGAAACATGCGTCCTGTCTGCCTGCCCGAGGCCAATCAGAACTTTGATGGCAAGACCGTGAGTACAAGCTTTGATTTATTTTTATAAAGATTATTAGGGTATTTATGCTAAAAAGTTATTAGCTATGTATAACTTGACAAAAAAATTGTTGTTAAGATCTTAGGACAAACAATCCTTAAGATGTATGGGGACATTTAAAATCCACCCACCTTCTTTAAAAAATTTCTCGGAATCTATTATGCACTTTAAAAAATATGAAACTAAAATCATGAGAAATTATTTTACATTTTTATACATTTGTAGTGTTTAGAATTGCTACTTTCCTTTTTAATTATTTGGAATCCAATTTTCAAACTTTTCGGATTTTTAATATATTTGGCAGGCCGTCGTCGCTGGTTGGGGTCTGATCAAGGAGGGTGGTGTCACCTCCAACTATCTGCAGGAGGTGAGTGTGCCGGTCCTCAGCAATCAGCAGTGCCGCCAGACGCGCTACAAGAACAAGATCGCCGAGGTGATGCTCTGCGCTGGTCTGGTGCAGCAGGGTGGCAAGGACGCCTGCCAGGGTGACAGTGGTGGCCCACTGATCATCAACGAGGGTCGCTACAAGCTCGCCGGCGTGGTGTCCTTCGGCTACGGATGTGCCCAGAAGAACGCACCAGGTGTCTACGCCAGGGTCAGCAAGTTCTTGGACTGGATCCAGAAGAACACCGTCGATGGCTGCTACTGCCAGAGCTAGATCATTTCTCTAAAGAAACTCATTTGCTTGCTCCATTCCTAAATTATTCTAAATTATTGAAAAGAAATTTGCATCAAATAAATCCATCATATTCTTCGAACTTGTGTTTATTATTGGAACATTTTAAAGAGTTAGCTATTAACGAAATATTTAAAAGGGTAATGATTTTTAATAAATATAAGAATTAGTTATAAATAGAAAAATAAATAACAATAATATAAAATGTGGGAATGATATTAAATATTTCTGACTTATAAATATACAGACATTTTTTACAAGTCAAAAACATTTGATTTATGTTCGAATTTCAACATCTAAATGTTTGGCTACCCATAATAACCTCTTCATAATCCTTTCTGCGTACCATTTAAATGCCTGTCGCATCCGGCGGAGATCGCAATCGAGCAATCGTTGAACATTCCTTCGGCTCTCAGCCTGCTCCACCTTGTGGCAGTTTTGGGTAGAACTCGATGGGACCCACCCTCGTACTTGACGGCCATGATTAATGCCTCGAAATTGTTGCCGCTGATGGAAATCTTTTTGGCAGCGTTCACATCATAATCGCTCCGCGAAGACCCCGGCTCCGAGATCCAAAACCAACTGCAGGTCCAGTCGCTGTCAATCAGGCAGAAACTTGGCTAAAAACCTGCGAGCGGCATAATTTGTTTTGACTCATTTTCATGCGCAGCTCATAAATTTAGCCAGCGAGTGGGGGACTAGAGAAGAAGTACAGAGACCATATGGAGGAGTCCCTAGCACCAGCACCTTGATTATGATTATGATGATGATGCATGTGGACAGGACTGGGCAGCGGCGCATCTGCATAGAGTGGCCATTGATTTACTATGTGAACACTTTATGGCTGTTTAAGTTGTTAAATTGAATTAAGATGAAATAAATTCTCGGGCAATTTTTATGTTTGTTAATAAATTTTGCATGCCCTGCGATAATTTGAACGGCTCCTGACCGCCGATCATAAATCGAGCGGCTTTATGGCCGCTCTAAAAATAATGCAGCGCGCAGACAATCGAAATAAATAATTCATGCGACTGCGAATGGGAATGGGTATGTGCTATATAGCTGGACATGGACGCACATCCTCTTCCCATCCCGCGGAGGATCGCTTTCCGTTTCAATCTGTATCTGTGGGCCGGCTTTCAGTTGCTTTTTGGCAGCGCCCAGGGGAGCAACTACAAATGGACTGCGGATAGAAGGCGCATTGTTGGCCATTTGGTGTTTGCATTTTAGATTTCTTCACACCTGAACGTGGCGGTGGGTCTGGGTCCTCGGCCCTGCTCTGCCTCGTTCAAAGCAGCCGCCGTCGGCGATCGGCGGAAGACATAGGAAATGGCCAACCTGTCCGCGTTCCTGGCACTTGATCCAAGATTCACTGGAGTCGCGGTCGGGATTGCAGTTTATCTAATGCCCAACCGATGTCGAGGTCTTACCAAATTTGGCTCTGCTCGCAGGTTTTCTCAAACGTCCGGTCCTTGGACTTCGCCGGCCTGCGAATTTGTCGTGACTTGTTAATGATACATTTCGCCAGGTTCCAGGTTCTGCGCTCCAGGTTCCAGCCTGACGGGCTCTGGGCCTGGTCAAGTGTTGGCATGTCGCTTAAATGGTACATGGTGCCATCTTTGGAGCACCACACAGTGAGAAAAAATGTGTGGAAAGCCAATGCTTGAAACTCTTCAATAAAATTGAAATAAATAAGAAATACTTCAATGAGGTTGTAAAATTATACAACTAACAAATAATAAAGAATTACTTTTTTTATTTTACTAAATCCAATTTTATTTTAAGATTTTAATAAAAAAAAATTTCAAAGGCCCTAGTGCTTTGTAAAACTACTAAATATCTAACAAAATGGTATTTTAACTTTTTAGGAGTCTCTATCATATTTAATTATGCCTCAAAATTGTAATATTTTGTTCAAATTGTTTTTTAAATTATTTCTGATTTGAAACTATAGATTTGAAATCATATGGGTGTCTTAAACTAAACTCAATTATAAATTTACACGTTTTGTATGACTATTTTTGGTGCTTTTTGTGGCTGTTGTATTCAAAACATATTAAGCAATTCTAATTAAGTTTCATGAATTTCTGCCAGTGCACCTGTAAGTACCTTAGCAGTACTTAGGATAGGGCCAGCTCGAAACAGACTAAGCCCATGTTAATCATGACTTGGCCGCCACGGCCCTGGGGCTATCAGTTTTCATTGATTTGAATAGTTTTCCAACTCTTTTTCAATTTACACGGGGCCGCAGAAATATGTTCCTGGAGCAGCCGTCAGCCGCGTCTTGTTCTCGCCACAATTTACGAGCTGCAGGACAGACGAAATCTGGGCTCGTGATAATTAAACTGCGGCAGCAGCCAGAGTGAAAACAAAATGATTTACTGGCAGAACCTGCAGCCTTTACTTGCACTTCCATTTCCAGTCGTGTCAGAGCTCACTTTTATTTTTGGTCTCTGCCAGGCTTAATCTCATTTGTCTTAGTCGCCGACTTCGCGAACCTGGCCGTTGATGCCTCCTAAATAATGACCCTGTAATTACGGCTGTTTAGGCGGTTTAGTTGCCACGTCGAAAGCCGCGCTCGAAAGCATTCCACTTCATTAGCCGATGTTTATTAGTTGCCAACATTCGTTTTGCCAACAAAGCGACAATCTCAAGAGCTTTCGCTAAAACCCATTAGAAGATCACTCGCTTTAGTAGAACCCCCTTTTCATAAATGGTATCTGGAGGCTGTTCGTTTTACGACCCGGCTGGACGGGCGAAGTGTGAAAAGCCTCTTAAAAAGAGAGTTTATAGCAAGTCGGAAGAGGATTCAAAACCTTAAATCATTTTTAAGCTCAATAAAGAGTTAAGTGTAAATGTGATTGAAACCTAAGTGAAAAAGCTGTTGAAAGATTGTACAAATGGAAACGGAAATTTTTATTAGGAATTAAAAGTTTTTTAAGTCATAACAAATTTAAATTGAATTTTTTACTCATTTTTCTTTTGTTCCAAAAATTCAACAACAATTTGTTTTGTAAAATAAAAAAAAATAATTTTATTGAAAAAGTAATAAAATAGGTATTCTAAAAAGTAAAAAATATTATTTCATTATGATTCAAGATAAGAGAATATAGAGAAAATCCCACTTTTGTTGAATTTCGTCACTGGGATTTCCACATACAGTACGTCCCGTTCTCATATGCATAAATCAATTTTTTGCGGACTTTACTTTTTGTTTCGTTTAGCCGTTTTTTGGCGCTGAACACGTTCCAGTTTTACTTTCGGTTGGGGGCTTTGGCATTTTTGCACGTTGCACATTTATTTTAATTTCTGGCTGATCTCTTAGCAAATAGGCTGGGCTTTAGCCATATCCGAGCACGATGCACGTCCGCGACTGGGACTACTTTATGTAGATAATCTCAGAGATGGACTGGTCGGCAGGGGAGGGGACTGGGGATACCAGGACGACTCGGGTTGCAAACTGCTCATTAGTTTATTAATTAAGTTGTGCTGCGCGATCAGTTTCCCAGGCTGCAGCTGCTTCTGCTTATTTTTCTGCTGGCAGCTCCAACTTCAACTTTAGCTTCTGCTTTGCAGATTTATTTCTGTCCATTATGAAAATTGTCTATGGCATCGCCCGTTTCTGGGCTGCTTCTTCTTAACATTATTATGCTAGTTGCTGTAGTTATTTTAAATTGTTTTGTCTGGCCTAATGATACCCTACACGGCAACGGGGCAGCGGCACTTTAATCGACAGTAGTTGGGCTTTAACGCCCGGCCCTCAGCCTTCAGCCCGCAGAACCAAATAGCTCCGAGCTCCAAGTTCCCAGTTCCCAACTCATTTCGGGCTTTCGGTTCAGGTTTGGTTAGCGGCCGCTAAGTGGAAGGTGTTGAGAAAATGCACAAAAATTAATCATTTTATAATTGCTAAATTGCCGGCGGCCATTCAATTGCTCGCAGAGCTTAATACCCTACACAGGCTGAGAAACTGAAGCTCATAAATTAGGAATTTGATGAGGCGCTAAGCCAGAATAGAATATGCATTAACAAATGGCCAACGTGGGCCTCTGAAGTATCTTCTTGTCACTTCTTTTGGGCCCAAGCCTTATAAGAAAAGCAAGACAAATTAGACAGAGGTTTTGGTACACGGAAAAAAATAACTAATAAGTGAAGGTTTACAAAAATATAATATTAATAAATAAATTCGAAATATTATTAAACAATAATTTAAAAAGCCCATAAATTTAATTTTCACATGAATATTTGAAAAATATATTATTAATATTAAAATGTAAATCCATAAATTTAATGTACTTTCAATACTTTTAACACAAAAATATTTTTGTATGTATAGTCAAGAATAATTTGTTTCCTTCTTTGTTTGGGTAACATATAAATATACCTGGTCGAACTAGGCCCATAAAATATGTTTGGAGCTATAGTTCGTTAGCCCGAAACGCTTGAGTAATTTCTTTTGAAGAATTTCTAAGAAGTCTTTGTTTTCCCCTTCGAATTGATGGCCTTCGCCCTGCCCCAAAATGACGTCATCCCGGTGACCTTGGAGCGGAGTGTGTGGTGTGCAAATGGAGCTAATCAGAATCAGAATCAGACCATCTAGACACTTTCGGATCCGCCAGTTTAGCCCCAGAATTCTCTGGGCTGGCCAAGCCTGACGCGTTGTCTACATTTTTCTCGCTTTACTTTTAATTTTGCACGCGTCCCAGCGGGTTTTCTTTGGCAGGTTCTGTTCTGTTGTTTTTTTTTTTTATTTTTTGTGTCCATTCTGATGAGTTTGTTTAGTTTGAAATATGTTTTCTATACGTGCGTCATGTTTGGACGTCCCTGGTCGCGATTCCTGGCGGGTCGGGCACTATAATTAAAGGTATTGGTAGGCGTTACTATTGGCTCAGGTCCTCGAAAGGGGACAGGTTGGGGAACTAAGTATATAAACTGGAACGACAGCAGATGGTCTCCCTTGTCGAGGTGGACATTGCATCAGTCGGAGAAAAATCTACAAAAGATTCGCCGCGTTTCAGCGCTGCAAACAGTTATGCAAGTTTCCTGTAGCGCGATCTT